AGAGGACCTATTCTTAAGTTGTGTCTTTTGAGAACAAGGTGAGGAATGAACAATCATTCTGACATGTCAATCTAACTATCATAAATCATAATGTAAAAGTGGCTAGGTGTTATGTATATCTCGCATGCAATCTATGGTGGGGTAAATTTTTGAAATTTTGGATAAAATGTGATGGGAGGAATAGATGAAACATAATGTATGTCAGTCACATGGATTGGTACTGTTGCCTAAATCATGTTATCTTTTTTATCAAACAAAATGAATTAAGCCCTATGTGTATATATATATGCATAACCTTCCCCATGTTCCGTTTTGACTTTTGCAAATCTAAGTGTTTAGGTTGATGCTAAGAAGCAAAAATCTAATTATAATAATTTAGCCATTAAAAAAAAAAAAAAAAACTCTAATTAGTAGAAATGAAGGAGATACAGGGGTCAACTTTCCACCTAGGATTCCTTGTTTTTAATTTTTTTAGTAGGATTCCTTGGTTTTAGTTGGACTGCCTCAATTTCTCTCTTTATATTGCTTTCATGCGTGAGATATGAGTGAGAAGAACGTGCACAAATAACTATGATGTATGTCCTCCTGACTGAACTCAGGTTAAGACACACCCCCTGTTGAACTAAATCTGTCTGGACGCAAGCCAAAAAAGAGAGCAAACTGTTCAATGCTCGACATCAGTATATAAAGGGAGCAAAACTTTTCAATGCTCAACACCTTTCCAGGACTTTTATCTGCAAAAGATTTTCGTTAAGTCTATACATATTATATATATAGCATCTGGTAGTCCATAGTCCGCAAACTTTTGCTGCGTCTTCTTCTGCCATCTATGAGCTAGCAGCTGAACTAGAACTGCGCCTTTGAGGTAAGTTCTGATATCTTAAGTTTTTAAGTTCTCAGTTGAGTGGATTTTTATAATCTAGCTTATACCTATCTAGCTTGCTGACATCAGAGAGTATTAGAAGATTTGGCGTTTGAAATCCTAATATATTTATGGAAGGACGATGTCATCTGTTTCAGTATTGAGGTCTCTCGATGCTTAATTTTATCATTCTTTGCAGGCTGAAAATGTTTTACCTTATACCATTGATCATCTCCTCCCCATTCTTCTTTTAAACATGGTTACATGATCAGTATGCATCTCCCTCAATTAATCTATATAATTATGGCTTCAATTCCTTATTTGTGATTTGATTTAAATACTGATGAAATTAAACTCTCGCATGCACTGTTGCTTCGCCAGCTTTATTCTGATTAAATGTTCTTGAGTGCCTTATACGCTTCAAAAGTAAGAACATAACATGCGTACATATATTCAATTGCCAAACTTTGCAGTAAAGCATTCATGCTCTCATTGGTCAATTCTTGTGTGTTGTTGCACATTCACCAAATTACATCAATGCAGTCTTCATTCGAAATATTTCGTACAAAAAATACAGTAGAAGTTAGCTAGCTTCAGAGCTCTCTGCTTTTACGCGATTATCTTTGTTTTCATCTTTAATTAGTACTTTTGTATCTCTTTATATGTAATAATCATGAGAATTACACATGGGGAGTTGATAAGAAGAGGGGACAAAATGAGAATTATTCCAACACTATTTCATTAACACGAAAATAAATCTTTTTACAAGCAAATACAATATATGCTTAAACTTCATTAATTCCTCATAAATTCATCCTCCTAAAAACAAGGTTTTTTTTTTCTTTTTTCTTTTTTTAAACATTTACACTAGAGAACTCCATTAATCTTCAACAGTTATATAATACTAATTTTATTATGTACAGAAATATAAATCATAATTTTTCCTCTCCTTGAAACAGATTAATTAATATTTATGTCATATAATCAGTTGATATTATATATAAGTTTAGGTGCTGTCACTTCCAAAGATCAATCTGTCCACCAGAGGTTGATGCCGTGGAGACATTTTCCGGCAGTCTGCAGAGAAGTGAACTTGTCTGCTCCAATGAATGAAACACGTTACTGCTTTCCTTAGAAACATCCTCTTGGCTGAGTTGAGATGCAACAAACTTATCCAAAACACGCCAATCCGTCATCTCATCCACCGCTTGCGCACTGCTGCCAGTACCATATATTGCATTCAAGTGTTCTTCCTGTGTAAGGGATGAAGACTGCAACGTGCTAGCATTGTTCATGTTGAGTCCGTGGGCAGCCATGGAGATGCAGCTTAGAGTGCCGGCGGGATGCAGCAGTTTTGGGCTCCCTAGGAGAGGAAGACGTAGGTAGTGCTCCTGGGGATGAATTTGGTACTGCAAATCCAGCTCTTTTTTGCAAGAGTAAGAGAGGTGGTGGTAACCCAAATTAGGGTTTGAGGATTGTTTCGGAGAGTCAACATCTGGCATGAAGGAGTACTGATCCTCGTACCAGCAGGGTGATTCGTACTCGTTCATTTTGCGCACTGTTGCCATTCTCTTCTTGAAAACCCTACACACCACCCATCCTTCCTCCTGCTTCAAGCAAGCAAAAGACTAACAAAAATGAGAATAATTGTTTCCTTTACCATGGAGACTGCATTGGGTAAATTTTTTACTATACCTTACTTAATATGAAAGGCTCTAATAACATGTAAAAACTAATTTGATTATAATTTTAAAATGTTAAAAGGCTATTGATCCGATTCAAACACTAGCTAGACTACTTAATTTGAAAGGCTCAAATATATACCACGTTAAGAATTGTTTTGCTTAAAAATTTGAACCCTTAGGTGAAGGCTTAAGAATATTATTAATTTTTTAAATTGATGAAAGACTTGCCTGGGGAGTTCCATTTTCATCTGTTTCAAGGCGGTATTCATGCATGATCCAGTCTGATTTTTGCCCATTGGGGGCTCGACCTTTGTAGAAGACTAGGGTTTTCCTCATCCCAATCAAGTCATGCTTAGAGTAAATGGCCTTGTCTCTTCCTGTTGCTTTCCAGAACCCAGCAGCAGTGGCTCTATTTGTGCGAGTACCGGTTGGATATTTCTTGTCTTTGTGGCTGAAGAAGTACCATTCATTTTGCTCGTCTGTTCCTATTCTACATATCTCTGTAATTCAAAATGTGCACAAGTAATTGATATTGATTTCCTTTCTATAAGTTGCAAAAATTTTCTGAAGTACTCAAGCCTGTATATATACCTTGAAGATCCCATGGCTCGATTTTATAAAGATCAACATCTTTAATGACATCGACTTCAATTCTTCTTGATGTAACCTTCTTCCTAAGGTAATAATCAACAAGTTCTTCGTCAGTGGGATGGAAGCGAAATCCCGGAGGAACTGTTGCAAATGTATTCATATTTTCACCCTGCAGTTTAGAGGTATTTTGAGTCCTACATCAGTGAATTAACCCATTTAGTGTCTAATTCAGCAATTGCACTACAAGATAAGATCATGAAATGCCATGATTGTGTCCAAGAAATTAAATAACTCCATGGATCATGGATTGGCATGATGGAAAATGATTAATTATATATTCAGTATTACTAGAGAGACAGTAATATATATTACTTTAAGGATATATAGTGTTCATTTCTAAAAAATTTAAGAGTTCCTATCTGCAAAATTACTTATTTCACTAAACACCCTCTAAAAAATACTAAAACATCCTTGCTCATTCTCATTGTCACATTACTTATATATTCTACTCATTTTTAATGGGTGCTTTTTAAAACAAAATAGTTTGAGTTTTTTTAACTCATAATTTTTTAGGAGCTAGGGAGAAATAAACACTTTCCCCTAATTACTTTTGTTATTAATTTGGTGTTTAGTACTTATAATTTGTCAACACATAATAATGAAAAAGTGGCTCATGTAATGAAAGAATTCAAGTGGTTCATACTTAAAAGAAAGGAAATCGCTTTGCTTAATTTCTTAATTTTGTTTCTTTTGAAACAAATAGGCGATCTTTTTAATTATATCACATGGTAAAATAAAAGTATTTGTGTATTTAATATATAATACCATGGATATAACTAAACATACATAAATTTGATGACTATTGTAATGATATAGTAATCAAATGTATTGTTAATTATGCACCCTTGATATGTTGAAAATAATGATACAAAAATCACATAAAAAACCTAGAGGGTGAACTGCAACTAATGTACATGTAATTGTGAGTCATACATATACTTTTTACTTGCATTTGATTGCAGTTATTTGTTGAAACTCTATATGATTTTGGGTACTTTAGTACTCCTTTTAATCAATACATATAAGGTATTGTAATTAAAATACTTGAGTTATATACACATAGAAACAAGAACTTAATAATTAGTTTTAACCTTGCAATTATCTAATAATAACTATGTAACCTAGCTTTTTTGATGATCAAGAAAGAAGCATAGATTGTTTGGAAGAGCTTAGAAGGGTGAAGAGGAAGCAGTTTAGGGTTAGTATAATACATAGTAACATCAATTAATGATGATAATTTATTCTAATAACAAATTGATAAAATTAATCCTTTAGATGAAAACCCTCTATTTATTATAAATAGTAGAAAAAACCAATTAATTAATGCTTATTGGTTTGTCTGCAAAACCATATGGTCCATTAGCATCAAAATGAATAATTAAACCCACATAATTAACACATAAAATTAATTACTATCACAGAGATATTAAGAGAGTAAGAAGGAAGCTCACAAATCAAGCAACCAGGATCTCAAGCTCCTTTTTAATCCACAGATCTGGGTTGATTGAATCTTTCCCCAAGAAGCAAAATCAATTTGACCTCTGTGCTAGCTCTAAACTTCAACTGATTCCGAAATTAGAAAAGAGCTGGGGAAGATCAAGTAGTAAAATAGTACATGCACCACCTTGGGAATTGAACTCAACTGTTTTCTTGTCGGATCGAATCCCGAGGAAGAAGGAGAAGAAGAAGAAGAAGAAGAAAGAAAGAAAGAAAGAAAGAAAGCGCACAAAAAGGAAAAGGCTTGGAGGAATTGGAAAATGAAGGAGTTCTGGGGTTAAATAAAAGAAATAAAAAGGGAAAGAAAGAAAGAAAGAGGAGAGAGAAAAACCCTAAGTAATGAACATCGAGTTAATTTATTTCATTATCATAAGGTTTCATTTTCTTGGGCTGAATTGGTGCAAAAGCTTAGGGCAGGAAAAAAGGGTGGCGCTAGTTCTAACCGCAACTGATAGCGAGTTAGCGACTGTCCCAAGAGAGAGAAATTTTAGGAAAATATTTTCTGTTTGGGTGAAGGGAAAATATTAGATGGTGGAGGTGAGGAAAGTAACAGCACAGACCAATCCAAAACGTACGAACGATGGAGACGGAGTTGTGACGTAATGGAACAGCCACCACCAGCCAAAAACTGGAATGGTGGCTTCTACAGTGAGCCCTAACTCCATTCCTAGTCCCTACCATTTCTTTGCTTCTCATGTCTTAATTGTAGTAATAAAATCACAATCACATGGTCTGTGGGTTGACCTTTTTCGTTTAATTGATTGCTCCTTTTGGTTCTGGAACTGTATCTCTATCTTACCTTGATTTGGCTAATCAGGCTAGGTTTTTCCTTTATCTGTATCTTATCAAGCTAGTTTATTTATTTGTAAAGCGGCTACATTTGAGACTTAATCAGAACTATACTTCATTTTTGGAGTATTCATTTTACTCCTTAATAATATTTATTCTATTCAGATTTGCCGATAAAAAAAAAAGTTTGTTTTTCTTTTTATTATTTTCGTGATTAAATTATCTTTAAATCATCTTGTTTGCATCTTTTTAAATTAATTTCTCTTTTATTCAGTAAAAAACAATTTATTTACGTTGGAATTATTTTTTTATTAATTTTTTAAAAAATTAAATTTTAATCAATAAAATAGAAAACAAACCCCATTATCAATTAATTTATAACTATTTAAATGACTAATCACGCTAAGTGCAAGGTCTTTTGTCTCCACTTTAATTATATTTTGATTTGGGCACGACCAATGTATACCATCGCCCTATCACTAATTAGCCATTAGTCTTTTTTTTTTTTTTTTTTTTAACAACAAAAAGTAACGCTTTTATTTTATTGATATTAGTGCAACATCAAAATAGAATATCAAGTAAGTTATTTTTATTTTCATTTTTTTAGATTTGATGACTGAACTATGTATGTATATGTGTGTATTATTTATTTTAAAATTCAAATTTAAAACTAAATTAAAGCTTTAAATTGTTACACGTCAGAGTTTTATTCAACTAAACATTTGTTCGTTTAAATGAGAAAGTGCGCTAATATTTGAGAAGGTTCTTGAGAGGGACGGCCCATTCACCACAATAATTTTAGGCCAAAACTACCCATCACTCATAATCCCACCATTCGTATCATGATCTATAAGATACAATATAACGTGTCGGTTTTAATTATGCCCGTGCCCGATACGTTTTCCAATCCACTTGACATTGTCATTATGACATGGTCCTGATTTATGTACAGATCTCATGAGCTTAGTTAATGGTAGCTTGCTGCATTATTACGGAGCTCAAGCCCCGTTTCAACAACTCTCAGCAACTTGCTCCGTTCCGTTCTGTCTGAAGGGTTACTTCGGGAAATTTTGGACAATAACCTCCACCGAGCAACGGCACGGCTGCAGACGTGGCTCCGTTTTGGTTGCTCTGTCTCCGCTACAATGTCCTTTCATCAAGTGAAATGGAGGTAGATGAATGATTGGTTTGAGAGAAATAAATAGAATAAATATAATTAAATATTTTAATAAATTAAATTATAATATTTATTAATGTTACAATCTTGACTTTGTTTTCTAATGATGCATTGTAGTTATAGGAGTGTTTGTTTTAATTATTTACAAGTAATTATTAATGGTTAATTTTAATCAAATGAATTAGATATTTTAAGTTATAAATAATAATGATTATTAATTATTAAATATTAATTATTAATTATCAATTATACCTAAACAGTTAATTTAAATAATTTTGTAGTTACGAATTTTTTTTATTATTTTAAAAATATGTAAAATATTGATTAAAATTAATAAAAATTATATATGAATTAATTAAAAATTATTAAAAATTATAAATTTACATTTAAAATTAAGTATTGTATGAAAGAAATTTGTGCAAAGCAATGACAAACCAATCTCAATTAATCAAAAAATTTATTTCTTCTCCCGTTTCTCTCAAATCCAACACATTGCAACATCAAGAAAATAATAGTCCACCCTCACCCCGTACTTGAACGTCAATGCGAAGCCGGCTAAGTTGACGGCTCAAGCTAAGCACACAGGAGACTCAGGTGTGGTGTGGGTTGGTAGTGGAATGTGGGTCCCAACGAAGGGAATGATGGGGCTAAGTCTCTGTAAGTGGCGGCTTGCTGTTTGGCGTGGGCTAGCCACTATGATTAAGCTCGCAACTTGAAGGGTTATGGGCTGAGCTTTGCAGGTGGGGTGGGCACCTTCCGGTCCCTTCACAATGGCCCGCATAGTGGGTCCCAACCTACAGGTTCAACTGGTCTGGTCTGGGCCCGACGTATTGTCCCACATCAAGTCCTTTTTATTCATTACTACGCTAAAATTTCAGTGCCACGTGAAGTTTTTACAAAGCTGCGATAGCGACCGAGGGCTGAGCATGCCTGCCTGAGCCACCAAACTTTATATACTAGTATACACCATGCGCACACTGAATTAACTGTATGAGTGGTCTGACGGTCGTCCGATTCTTTTTAATCAATGGTCAAAGTTTGGTTTTGACCGTTTAACAAGTGGCTGCTAATTAAGGGTAGCCATATTTTCTCAAAATTGAGTTTAACTTTAAACCATTTAATTTTCTTAAAAGTAATGTTAACATGAGATTTTGAAGTTAGAACCTTACACTTTTAAATTTTAATTTAATATATGACATATGAGTGGGATTAATCAATAGATGTAAATATATATACAAGCTTTAAGAGAACAAAAAAGTTTATAGTTAAATAAAATGTAAAATTATATTTATATAAAAAGATCATAAAAAGAAAAAAGTATATATCAATCTTGACTCCTAAAATAAATTGGAGTCCCAAACTCAAAGATATCATTTCATTAATCCTGAGCTCCTTCTGTGACTATAATTCATCATATTTGTCGCCTCCTACGATTTATTGAATTTTATAGATATAACCTATGTCATTGACAGTAATAGGAAAGGAATCAACAATGATTTACACTTTGAAGTTCAACGATTTATCATTTTCATCCTTTGCCAATAGCAACGATGCTAAGTTCTTTTTTTTTTTACATCAATTTCTTGTTGAATTTGGAAAAGAGAAGATTGGTTTTCTTTCTCGTATATAAGATTTCATGCCAACAATGAAATGAATCTTAAAATTGAATAATCTTGTTAATATGAACACATGATTCTGTAGATGTGAACACTTATCCTCATGCTACTGATGATGATTAAATCACTTATGGGATGAAAATTTGCAAAAGGGGAGGAGTGAAAAGAGGAATTGAGTTTAATTAGATAAAATAATGTAGTTTTAAGAATTAAGATTCTAATTTTTTTTAAAAGTTAAGATTAATACGTGTTATTTTCTCATAAAAAATTATTCTTAAATAATTTTTCTTTTAAATTATACTTTTAAATAACAACAATTAAATTAGATTAACAAAAAAAATTGTATAATATAAATTATACAATTTAAGTCATTAAATGAGAGTAGATCTCTTGATAATTGTTGTTCTTTACATAGAAATGCACAACTTAAATAATTAATAAGAGTTGTACTCTTAGTATTTAGTATTATTCCTCCATTTAATAATTTACATTTTATAATATAATATAATTCAAATTACAAAATATAACACTTGTTAGATAAAACAACCATTAACTATTTTTCTAATGAACTACTGCATAATTGATAAAAGGACATTTTCACGAAAGAGAAAAAAGAGAGACAATAATCAGATTTGGTTGATAGCTAGAGATTCCACTGTTGCCTAAAGTTGCCTTATTTGAAGGACTATAGCCGCGAAGCACCCTATCAAACATACATTCTTGTCGTGATGCAAATTAATCTGCATAAGTTCGGAGTAGACTTCTATGACATGGGGTTGCGATTGAATCAGGTGGGTCCTATGCCTCAATCATACGGCCGGGAGACAACTATTCGCTTTACGTTCCGTTCGATCTCAGGTGGCACCCTTTCGGTGACTGATCGTCTCAGCAACCAATGGGAATGCGGCTTCTCTAAAACATCTTGGGTCCCACTTGGATATCAAAATTTCCTCCTCATCATATCTGTTCTTGCAGGTTTTATCCCCCCATAGACGCGGAGGAGTTTAATTTTTTAATTTTTTAAAGTCACGGTATTATAAATAATTTTTTAATATTATTTTTAATATAATTTTTATATATTATTTAATAAATAAATATATTTAATATCACAAATCATATATAAATAAAAAAATTAATTATTTAAATAATATATTAAATTATATTAAAAAATAAAAAAAATTGTTTCAAATTCATTTCCCTTCCCCAAAACAAACAAACTGGTCCACGTAGGCCATTCTTATTGGCAATCTGTCTTTCTTTTTGTCTATTTCTGATAATGACAAAATTGCCCTTTAATTTCATCAGCATGATTACTTAATTTACCTCAAAATTTTCTCTCCAACGAAAATGTTAAGAATACTCTCTCTAATATTTTTTTTTGTTTGAATATCATAACTTGTTTTTATTTTTATGGTTAGAGAATCATAGCACCTACATTTGATTTCTAACATGTCAAGATTTGATTCTTGATAATGTTTTAGTCATCATTCTAACTAAACACTTTTTTTGGATACTCTATATAATTGAAACACATGTAACATAAATTTAATATGATTGGTCCTAATTTTAAGATTTAAAAACATTAATTTTAGTTTTAATCACTAATAATTAATTATATTAAATTTATATTTCAAATAACTTAAACACATAAAAAAATGTTTTAAAAAAAATGCTAAAGAGGATGCCCCTAACTGTCTTTTTCTTATGGAATGTCAGACAATTTCATTAAGGGTGTGTTGGGTGCACTCCGCCTCTTGGGCCCACTAGAGAAGCGCATCAATTCCCCAGCCACAAGCTGGCTTCAATTTCCTCTCCCCACAATTGTAATAATTTAAAGAAATATGTATTAATGGTGTGCTTAGTTGGTTTAATATTTTTAATTTATTATTATTATTATATTTAAACAGTTAGTTAAAAAATTTAAAATAGACATCAACAATTATTTTTTATCAACGAATTCTTAACTAAATGAAATAGAGCCCGAAAAAGATACAAAAAGTATTCCAATCTAAACATGACTGTAGTGAAATATATCATGTACGTCCTCCCTTCCACATATACATTCCACAACCACACACCGATATTCCTTTTGTTAAAGCATCCTCACAGGTGCACTTTCTTACAAAAATACAAGGCTCTCCACAGGGTTTTGTATCCTTGTATCTACTCCTCCAATGTAAATAAACCCAGTACCAATAACAGCGTCAACCATAAGTTTTTACAATTCATTCATAATTCATAACACAACTTTGGCCTTTCATTGTGTCTGATTGTTTCAGTAATTATTATTGGTGGTTTTCAATAATGATAAATATACTATTATAGATAGTAGGTGTTTGTATCAACTATTTATATTTAGTTGGTAATTGATAAAATTCAATGATTAATAATTATTTTTATTTATAATTTAAAATTTAAAATTTATTTTATTAAAATCAACAACTAACAGTTATTTTTTTTCTGGATAAATCAAACTGTATTAATAAATATATAGTACATGGGGTTTTTTTTTTTTTTTTTTGAATATGAGGGATTTGGGGAAGGGAGATTTCTTTTTTCCAAGTTGTTGATAAGAGTCGAACTCTCGACCAACTATATCTAAACACTTAGGACTTAGGGACGAACTATTGGGTCCAAAGGTTCGGTTCTAGTATGGGGGGTATTTGAATCTACATATAAATGACAATTACATATTATCTATGACTAATAGCTGTTTTTTAAACAGTAATCTAAGTACTCCCGTAATTGTTAGAAATAACATAGAAACAAAAACAATTTAAGTACTAAGTAGGGCAAATTTTCTTTTCATTGTAAACCTTGAAAAACTTGCACTATACAGATATCAATTTTAATTTTTTTGTTTTGGGTTTTGATATATCGTCAATTAGCATTGTTAACATTTCTTAACGGCAAAACTAAAAGCAAAAGCAGCTACAATTCTAAAACACAACCTAAATTTTAACGAAATTGTTCTTTTTTTCAGAAATGTTGTTCTTGTTTTCGATGGTTATAATACTTTTAGTTTAATTAGGAATTTTGAGGTTAAATTTTGAGATATTGGAAATGGGTATGTACTGTGGTGGGAGTGCTAATGAATAGAATGATAATAAATGGTATACCCTTTAATTTAACACATTTATTGATACTTATTGATTCAACTATTAAATTTTACAAATAAACTTAAATTTTTACTTCGAATTTAAATTTAAAAATAATAATTTCTTAATAAATACATTATAATATGTGTTCAATCAAAAGTTATATTAATTATTGTCTTTAATAGAAATATCGATGGAAAAATATCTCTAAAAGAGTATGATATGGATGGCAGGCGTAGAGAATACTCAAGGTTAGAGTATGAATACAGGTTGCCCCAACATGTGATGGAGATGTACATATATTATCAATCATTTTGTGTGGAGAAGTGGAGAAATCAACGACTATCTACCAGTCTGAAAAACCTCGAAATCATATTAAAAAAAAAAATAGAGGAGAAGAATATGAGTGAAAAAATTTGAACTTATTAGCCTTTTTGAGCTATCCATATTCCTCACAT